GCTTAATAGAAACAATGACTTGGGGGTCAGTGGGGTAGCTGAAGTACATTTATGGATACTCTCCATTAAAGAGTGTGCATAAGGTGCAAAAAAGAAGGTCATGGAAAGAAACTTGAGAATGTTCTATTTAAGAGGCTAGACAGAGATACATGTCATTTTTAGACAGGTAAAAACTGATCATCTTCTCTACCACCTGAGTCTCAGTATCAGGCAAAGGCTGACACTCACTCTGGAAGTCAAAAGAGCAAGCAACTGACTTTCCCATCCTCCTAGCAGCGAGCAGCTAGCAGCTAGCCTATTGGGATTTGAGCTAGTTTTGATCTAGATTTACTCTAGTCTAACTCACGTACTACCTTTCTCTAGAAATTCTGCTGGTTTTACATTGAGAGCACTTTACTTCCACCAGTTTTCTGAGCAGAATAAATTGAGCCAAAGATTGGAACTGAATAAAGGGGATATAAATAACCAATGCCAATGATTCCAGTTATTACGCGTATTTTTTGTTTGGAATGGATTCCCTTCTATGCAATCCCAAATCACTAAATAATTGAATATTTTCAAATTCAATTTCTGTGTGGGTACTTACTAAGTCATAAATGTGGGAAAGAGTAGTGGAGGGACATGTGAAAATTTGCTGCTAGATATGCGTTCAGTGTACTCAATGAAATTACTGTCAGAGAAGAAAGGACAGAGGAGCTCATGTGGAGGTGATTTGCCTTAAAAGTTTAATCAGAAAATGTAATAAATTAAAAAGAATGGATCTTTTAATCAGAATAACCAGAAAGATTTCTTACATAGAAAACATATGATCTGGGACTTAAATCCAGTTTAAATTGTTTAACATTTAATTCACTAAGGCTTGTCTTATAAAGTCTTTCTAGTTATCTTGAAAAGATAATAAATCATCGTTGAGTGAAACAGTTCAGTCTTACAAAGTTGTTGCTTATCCAGACTTAGTCACAAAACTAAGCTATACAGATAAGTTATTAATTATTTTACAGTATTCACCTGCTACTTTTGGCATCCTGTGAATCTATCTAAATTTATTATAAATTATACAGTATTTAAATTTCTAACATAAGGAATAAAGAATGTCACAGAATTCATTTTTCTCTTACCTAGATCTTGTAAGAAATTTTGGAGATCCTTTCAAAGAGTTAGGCTTCCTAAAGCGGAAAAATCTGTGATAGTGGAATGAGAATAGCATACATAGTAACCCTTCGTATGTTGATTCATTTTGGAAACTTCATTTGCAAAGATCAGGAAAACCTTGTTAATATAAATTTGTTTTGAACCAGGAGTCAGCCCATTGTACACTCTGTGCTTTTGCCAGAAAAGGAAGGAGTGCAGAACTAAAATTCCCCTAATAGCACCCAAGGATTCCCTTCAGGACAAAGTTCAGCTGTTCTTCTGGGTATTGTGGACTTGGACATGTATGAGAAGTCCAGGGTGTCCCACAGGGCGTTACAGACTCAAAAGTCGTAAATATCAAGTCTTGTAGACAATGCTAATTTTAACAATTGAAATTGCCCTTCATGCATCTGTTTTCCCTGTCAGATGGCACTTCTGATGTGTTTATGCAAACTTCAATTTATCTGTATATTTTGATGCTCAGTGTGCTTCAATTAGTATGGTCTCATCTGAGCTAATCATTTATGATTCTAATGAGGCCAAAGTTCTAGATTCCCTTCAGGAGCCAACCCCAAGTAAAGTTGTCTTCCCCATGCAGGTCACATCCCAGACCTGCACCTGAAAACTGATGAGAAACCTTACTAGGCAAAAGTCAGGGGAGGTCAAAGGAAAGCGAAGGCAAAAGACCATGGACAGACGTCACTGAGACCAGTGCTCTCAAACTTTAATGCCTGTGAATTTCCGGAGAGTTTCTTCAAATGCAGATTCTCTTTCAGCAGGTCATGGGTGGATGCTCTTCATTTTTAACAAGGTGCTGCCTCAGGACATTTGCCATCCCCAGTGTTTCCTCATTGGAGGGTCTTGATCATCAAAGACATAGACCATCAGGGAAAAAAAGAAAGTGGTAAACATAACTGGCATGTATAGAGAGAAGCAAGAAGGAGCAAGATGGCTCAAGGGAAGCCAGGAGGTAGCATCAGTTGGGTTCTGGAGGCTAAGTCAAGCACCTTATGTTTTACCCCAATTTAAGGGGAAATAATGAGGGATTTTGGACATGGTCAAGTATTCATGTTTCTCTTTACATCACAGTCAATCATGTTTTCAAGAAAAAGTTATAAAAACATGCACAGTACATCCTCCATTGGAATAGGTACCCCATTCCCATTTGTATTCCGGGATGAAAGTATGAAATAAAAGGTGGAAATATTTAGGATATTTGCCTAATAATATTTAAGTAGGGAAGAGAGGATATATAGATACTCCAGTTTCACTGGTTCTGCTATCTTGATTTTTATAATTTGACTTCACTATTATTTACCAGAGTGGTTATCTAATATAGTCTCAGCCCCACAGCATTAGCTCACTAAGCAGAAAATACAGTGATGCAACCATCAGTCTGGGATCCACAAGCCTTCCAGGTGATTCTGAGGCCCACTGAAGTTTGAGAACCACTATTTTAAAAGGAAACCTCAACAAAAATAGAGAGCCTAGTCTAGAGAGGTCTTCACACATACCTAATATATGTATACTAATAAGATTCTGTCCCACATGGATGGAACTGGAGGATATTATGCTAGGTGGAGAAAGACAAGTACCAAATGATTTCCCTCATTTGTGGAGTATAACAATGAAGCAAAACTGAAGAAACAAAACAGCAACAGACTCACAGACTCCAAGAAGGGACTAGCAGTTGCCAAGGGGGAGGGGGAGGGGAGGGCAGGTGGGGGATGGAGAAGGGGATTGAGGAGTATTATGATTGGCACACATGCTGTGGGGGGATCATGGGGAAGACAGTGTAGCACAGAGAAGACAAATAGTGACCCTTTGGCATCTTACTATACTGTTGGGCAGTGACTGCAATGGGTTATGGGGGGGACACGGTAACAGGGGTGAATGTAGTAACCACATTGTTTTTTCATGTGAAACCTTCATAAGAGTGTATATTAATGATACCTTAATAAAAAAAAAAGATTCTGTCCCAGCTAGTGTATAAGTCAGACTGAGAAATACTGTTTTAGATTTGACTGGTGTTTGTTTTTCCCTGACTCCTGAGTCTGTTGATTGTTTGAGCACACTCTAGGATAAAGTTGTCAGCGACTTCTCAACAGATATTGTATAGTCTTGAGAAAATATACATATATGCCTATATATAAAGACAGGACTATGAATTCTTTTATATCTCCAGGTTAAGAAAACCAATACATGTTCATAATAACAAGTTTCTATATTATTGATATTTCCAAGGGGTGGTTTAACCCAACATCAGCAGTGTTCCAGACAACTGGGTGAACATAGCATTGACATATCATTCTTTACATCTGAATATCCATTAACTAATACATATGCAATCTCGTTGTATTTTTTAATGAAATCTGTAGAATTACTTGGCTAAAATGTGGACTTTGTATAAAATGTATATTTTATATGTTTTCCAACATATCACTAAAATGATGAAATTGATGGACAAAAAATGTGGTAGAAGTGAGAAAGGGAACACATCAGTCAAGAGGAGATTCTGGTGACTTTCTGGAAGGCACAAATTAATTGAGATTTTACTGAAAGATACATCAGATCACTGGAATCTGTTCACTAGATATACTCAAGATAAGGCTATTATAAGAAGTCAGAATTCTGAGAGCCCCTAATGCCTATTCCATACCCACCCAACCTACAATAGGACAAAACAGTTTATATACCATGATCATATTTTTGTAGACTGATGTCAGCCTTTTCATTGAGAGAAAAAGCCAAATAGGGAAATAAAAACTTTATGACCATACACACCAGTTACTTATATTATCAGTAGAGTCACTGAGTCATAACAGTGTATGAACAAGCAAAAGTCTAGACAATTCAGAGGAAAAAAAATCAGAGAAATGGAAATATTATACAGCAACAAAAATTAAACTATGGACATGTGCAATAATGTGGATTCTCTAGTGAAAAATAATAACCGCATCTAGGCTATAATCTATTTAACCCCTTTCCTGGGGTTTGGAGGAATCCCTCAGGGGAACACGGTAACCTGGTCTAATCTTGTGACTTTTACCTCCAGAAATACATAATAATGATATTTGTATTAAAACTTACATTTTATATCCTTAAACCAAGCATCTAATTAAAGAGCTTCTCCCTGATATTTTGTCATACTCTATCCCAGGAGTTAATCCTCATGATAAGAAGAACAAAAATATTTCAATTTGTGTGCATAATACTTGCTGTAGTCTTGAAATAAATCTAGGAAGTTGAGGTGGCATACAGTAGCCATCATAGGCCCAGAAATCTCCCTGGGCTCATTACAAGATTGAAAATGAGCAATGCATTCTTACTACTTTTGAAGTATTGTGTTGTCAATTCACTACAATTTTGTATATATTTCATAAATACTTATTTAAGACCTCATGTGTGCTATGCACTGCAGAAGATTGAAAAGTAGCAAGACTTCTAAATTGTTACCTAAAAAAGGCCAAAAATGAAGTATGACATGAAGCCATTCATGGCCTAAAAGAATAAATGAACTACTCAGTGTCTCAAATGAGTGCCCATTCCTATCCTTTTTGAGGTAATATGTAAATGAATCATGGAAGCTGCAGCATGTAAGAGAGACCTTGAAGAAAGGACACTATTTCAAGTGTAAATGAAGATGGGTGCAGTTGGAGGAGCATTCTATGTGGGGAGACCTGTATGAACAAAAAAGCATGTACCTGAAGGAAGGTATGTTCAAAAGCCTTTCAGTAATTCATTTTGGGTACACTAGAGGGTCCATGAGGAGAATTGTGGAGGAAGAGACGTCAGAGTTAACTCAAGGAATTTTATTGGGTAGGGCTACAAATAATGCCAGGGTTAGCAAATGCAGAGTAATACATGTATAGATGTAGACACATTTATTTATTATGTTCTCTATATGTCCATGAACAAATAAACAGATGCCTAATCATACATAAAATTCTAGATATATGCATCACATATGCACATAACTTGAAAGCATTGACAATCCATTAAAAGTTATCAAAGATGGATATTATTAAATCAGAGTTCTATTCATGAAGAATATTCTGAGAGCAAAGCTTGAGAAGTAAGAGAATATCAACAGGATGCAGAAGTTAAAAGACTATTGCAAGTGACAGATAAGAGTAGTTTTAGCAGAAAGGCCCCAATTATATTAATAGGAATGGGTATGGGATCATAGGTAAGAGAGGAAGGGCAGGGTGGAACTGAAGATGTATCACCCATTATAGTAACAGTATGCATTGGGATGAACACTTATACGTAAGGACTTTTGGGGCACAAAACCTCCAAACTCTTCCTCATTTTCGTGTATTTCCCAGATACCCACTGGCAGTCTGTTATCATATCATCTTAACATTTATTGAACTTTGGTAATAGGCATTTTGAAGCCTCTTGTGGTCAATACATTCCCATAACCTTGTATGTAATACTTATTTCTTATCAGCCTCATTAATGTTTTAGGAAGGTTGAGATCATTTCTGTCCTATTCTGCCACTTCCTTTTTCCTTTCTATGGCTATCTCAATCAAATTCTTCATCTCTTAGCTTTCTGATACTAATCTATGTGGGGTGTCCTGTGTGAACAAAAAAGCATGTACCTGAGAGGAAGGTATGTTCAAAAGGTTTTCAGTAATTCATTTTGGGAAGCAACCCTAGGAGCACATTTGACTGAGAGCATGCACTCAGTTTTCCCTGACCTTCATTGTTTTAACTCCATTCTCTTTTTTTCTTCTTTGCCTTCTCTTTTCTGTTTACTTCTCTATGTGATAATCAAGTTGAATCCCCACAAGAAGTGAAATTTGCCATGTCCCATATAAAGTGGAATGCCACACCTTTTGATAACTAGCAGAGTTTCTGGGATTTGCCTCTGTTCACTCAAACACAACCCTGCCTGCACTGTGAATTAAGTGTGATGTGAGTCTTTAGACTGCATAGTATATATTACTGTTGAAAATTACATGTTCAAATTCTTTTCAGAAGAATTGCACTATTATACTTAATGCATTTATGAACCATATTGAGAACATGCAAGTGTGTAATATATTTGTTTTCTTCCTTAATTATTATAGTATGACCATAATGAACAGTATGATTATAATGAACACTTGCTTAGAATTCATTCTATGTATTTGATAACGTTCATACATATTTAAGGTATTTTGGATACTGCAACTTTAAGTCATTAAGCTGTGGCAATTATAACTGCAAACCTTTGAACCCTAATCAACACATGGCAACATCTAATCTGCACAATTTTGTGTTGCTTTAATAAAAAGAAAACAGATACAAGTAGGAGATCTAAATATTTCTCTTTAACATTTTTGTCAGTGAGTGTATGACTTTCTTGTTTCTCAGGCTGTAGATAATTGGATTTAACAAAGGAATTATGACCGTGTAAAATAGAGAGTCCACCATATCTTGATCATCTGATTGTGTCGATCCAGGCCGCACATACATGAAGAGAAGGGGGCCATAGTACAAAGAGACAGATAAGAGATGAGCTCCACAGGTGGAGAAGGCTTTCTTTATGCCCTGCACAGATTTTTTTTTTAAGATTGTGAAAAGAACGAGAGTATATGAGATAAGAACAGTCAGAATGGTAAACACCTGTATTGACCCAGAGAAAATAAAAACCATCATTATATTAATAGAAGGGTCAGTACAAGAAATCCTAAACAGTGGTATGATGTCACAGTAAAAGTGATGTACTATGATGGAATTGCAGAAGGTCAATCTGAGTAAGAAACTGCTATGAATTATGGCATGAAGAAGGCCACCTAAAAATGATAAGACTAATAGCTGGATACATAGTCTATTGGTCATAATCACCGGATAAAGTAATGGTTTGCATATGGCTACATAGCGATCATAGGCCATTGTTGCCAAGAGAAAACATTCTGTGGTTATACTGATTGCAAGGGAAAAGAATTGTATATTACATTCAGAGAGAGACATCATCTTACTCTTTGCAAAGAAGATGACCAGCATCTTGGGAGTCACTGTGGATGACATCCAAGCATCTACAAATGCCAAATTCCCAAGGAATAAGTACATGGGAATGTGAAGGTGAGAATCATTCCATATGAGAACAATGAGACCAAGGTTCCCCACAATGGTGATGAGATATATCACTGAGAACAGCAGAAACAGGGGTATTTGCCACTCTGGTTGATATGTAAGTCCAGTGAGAATAAACTCTGTCAGCAATGTGGCATTTTCCTTTTCCATGTCCTCACTGAAGGTTGCCTAAAATGAAAAGGAATAAAAAATGAAAAATCAAAGTCATTAAGAATGTATAATGTGAAAATATGGGCAAGGAGAGTTGAAATAATGCTGTGCAGGCCAGAATGCCCTCTTTACTTTGTTTAATAACTCTATAATAGGTGGAATCTATTTTGGGGAACTAAAGTAAATACAACTATTTAAATTTCTTAAAAGTGCAGTAATAAACAGATTTGGAAAAATGTACATTCTAAATATGTGCTGTATGTATGGGAATGAGATTCAGTGTGATAGGATAATTCTGTGTGTGAGACACGGATGAAGGGTCAAGGGAAACGAAGCTTGAAGAGCCTGGGTCATAAAATGAATTGAATGGCATGTGAAGCATCTTGAACATTATTTATCAGGTGGTAAACATGCACAAAAAGTTTAAGAGGACGGAGTGGCATGTAAGTTTTTTTGGTATATATAGGAGTCGAGAGGATAAGCTACAGGGAGGGGAAACTGGAGTCAGGAATACTAGTTAGGAAGACGTTACCTTTGTTTAGTGGTTTCCAAACCAGATTACACTCACAAAATGTCCAAAGAACTTTTTGTGCAATGTATATAGATTCTGAGGTTTTATTGTGGAAATTGATTAACTGGGTTGAGAATGAAGTCTACTAACCTGCATTTCAAAATTGCTCCCCAAGTGACTCAGATCTCTGTCAAGTGGCTAGTTCATGGATAAATGGCATTGAGCATGATAAGGAGGACAAAGAGATAGTTGCAAAAGAATTCAGAATGTAGAGTCACTACTTCAGTAAAATATTGAAAATGAAGGGGTAGTCAGTGAAGGGCAGAGCAGACACTTGGTGACTGGATAGATCTTCATCAAAAAATGATTGAGGACTAGGACGAGATGTTTGTGGAGATGGTGTCCTCTGAACATTCATATGTTTGTAATATGAATCTACTAAAGCTTAATAGAAATAATGACTTAGGGGTAATTGGAGTACCCGAAGGCATCCTTATGAATGACCTAGCCTTTGGAAACTGTGCAAAATGAGAAAAAGGAAACTCAGGTGAGGAAGGAAGCTTGAAAAAGTGTATTAAAGTGGTCATAGAAGATAAATGTCATTTTTTGGATGCCAAGCTGATCCTCTGGGTTATCACATCACCTCGAGGGCAAGCAAAGTCCATCAATTACTCCATAAGCATTCTTAAGCTAGAAACTAACTTTCCTCTCCCCCTTGCACCTTGAGTGAGGGGACTTGATGTAGTTTTGACAGATCAACCCACCCACCCTGGATTTAGAATTTTGAGAGAGGGAGAAAAGGGTACAAAACAAAAGAAAAGTTAGGATGCTCAGGCAGCCAAGGGACAATATGAAGTCTCCAGCAAAGGCTTCCTGACCCCACACCAGGGAATGTGTAATTGTGAGCAGTGGCATTCCAAGTCTGCAGCAATGACAGCAGACTTGGTAGAGCTAAAGCTGGAACATGATTTTGGCTGCTGTTGACTGACTGCCCTGCTGCTTCTCTTGCTGCCCATTTTTTCCAGCCTGTTCCTCCAATCCCCCCAGCAGTTCTATGTTAGAGCAAAATGCCCTTCTAAAAATTACTTCACAATGCCACCAATAGCCTTGGTTGGTGGCAGTGAAAAACGGAGAGACAAGAAAAGAATACTGAGCAGAATTTCTGTGAAGCAGGAGGGAAACTGGAGGGAAGCTGAGTGTTAAGAACATAAAGAGAGGAAAGGTGCTTAATAAGGACAGTTAGTTACAATGCCAGTTGCCAAAATAAATGCTCTAGTAGGACTAGGAACAGATGTGACTGAGCTTGGACATTAAGAGATTTTTAGTGGCTTTAGTGAAAGCAATTTCTGTTATGTGATACAGTTGAGAACCTGTACACAAATATAAATTATTTTGCTGTATATTACTTTTCAAAATATTTCAAAAGAGAGGAAGGCATCAAAATGAGGAAGGGGACAGGAGAAATAAAAGAGAAATTTGGGCAGGTGATAATTTCACAAGGTGGAGGAAGAGATTTATGCAGAGAATAACATAAACATACATGGGTAAGCATGGGAAAGACAAGCCAGATACATGTATCTGAAAGACTGCAGACAACCGAAAGGGAAACATTCAGTGTTTGGGGGTAAATGTTAGTCTTAAGCCTGGTGTTCACTAAAAGTTATCAACATTGGATATCTTGTTCTTTTTGTCAGATGTCCAAGTGTATTTTCCCATGGAATTGTATACTCAAGAGATTTTCATTTTAAATTTGGATTTACAAATGTTGTGTTGTTACTAAATATACTAGCTCTGCCTGTAAGTTCTTCCCATATTTTAAAGTTGCTTTACTTTATTAGGGTGATTAGACCTGAGTTTCTGTAGATATTCTGCTTGTTTTACTTTAGAGCACTTTTTATCCATCAGTTTTTTTTAACAGAATAAAATTGAGCCAAAGACTAAAACCAAAGATGGGCAATATAAATGGCCAATGCTGATTATTCCAGTTATAAATGTATATTTATTTGGAAGGGGTATCCTTCCATGCAATCCCAAATCACAAAAATTGAAAATTCTCGATTCAAGTTGTATGTGGGTGTTTATTAAGCCAAAATGCTGGAAGGAGAAGTAGATGAACATGTTATGCATATTTCCCTCTATCTGTGTATAAAGTACTCAAATTTTTGTGGGAAGTGGACAAATGATAGAAGAATTGATATGTAAGTGACAATTTAAAAGTTTAAATCAGTGAGTGTGTTCACTTAGAATGAATCGTTTAATCAGAAAAGCAAAGATTTCTTATGGAGGAATCTTTATGAACTGTTACTTAAACACAGTATACATAGTTTAATGTCCTAGTTCACTAATACTTATAAGGTTGTTATAGATATTGTAAGAGATAATAAAACACGGTTACATGGAATAATTCAGTCTTGCAGCTATTTTGTCTACGTAGATTATATTCATAAAAATACATTATACAAATTGTTCACTATTTGTTTTTGGGTATTCATCTGCCTTTAATGGAATCTTATAATGCAATCTAAAGTCATTATAAATTTAACAGTATTTTTAACTTCGTATGTAAATAACAAATATTGCAGAAATAATTTCTTTCTTACCCATATCTTGTAAGAAATTGAGGAAATCCTTTCAAAGTATTAGGCCTTCTAAGTGGGAAAAATAAAAGAGCACAGAAATGACAATAACATAAGTAGCAACTCTTGGCACACTGATTCATTTTCGAGGCTTCATTTGCCAGGCTCAGGAAATATTGTTTATATAAATTTGCTTTGAAGCCAAGAGTCAGCCAATTGTGCAACTGTTGCTTTTGTTAGAAGAGGAAGGCATGAAAACTGATTCCCCTACTAGCACCCAAGGATTCCCTTTAGGACAAAGTTAAGCTGCTCTACTGGGCATTGAGCACTTGGACAACTATGAAAAGGCCCGTTGTCCTCTAGGGTATAACAGACTCTGCAATCATAAACATCAAGTCATTGTAGACAGTTCCAGTTTGAAACTGCACTTATACCACTACTTACTACCACAGATGAAATTGTGCAAACTCCAGCTTATGTATAAAACATTACTCGGACTGAATTAATGTGGTCTTAATTGAGCTAATCATATATAAAGCCAAATTAACGAGGCCGAAGTAATAGAACCCACTCAGGTGCCGCCCCGGAAAGCTGTCATCAGTGCAAACCTGCAGCTCCCATTCCACACCTACACTGCACTCCCCACTCTGTGCCAAAATGAGAAATTGTTCTAGGCGGGAGGTCTGGGAGAGGAACATAAAGAAAACAAAGACAGAGGACCACAGTGGGAGGTGCCCTAGGACAGTGATTCTCAAACTTTAATGCCTGTGAATCTTCTGGAAATCTTGATAGATACAGACTCTGTTTCATAGGCCTGGATGGGACCTCTGGGTCTACATTTCTAACAAAGTAATGTGAGTGGACATTTGCCATCCACAGGGCCTTCATCAGAAGAGCCAAGATTATCAGAGGGCCAAGGTCACTGGAGAAACATAAAATGGTAAATTACCAAGGGAGAAGCACAGAGCTACCAGAGAGGGCCAGAGGGGCCAGCACGAGTGGGACTCCAAGGAGCCTTGGAGGATAAGTCAGGGTTTTGTTCTTTACCCCAACGTAAAGGAATTGAGGACCTTTGAATATGGCAGTAATGTGCTCGGTTTGTCTTTTGTGCATTGCAGAGTAGGTAGGCAGTGAAACTGCATTCAGAAATAAAACTTAATTTACTTATTTGTGACATTTTGATTTGATGTCAGAGTAGTAGAAAAAAATATATAACTTCCCCATGGAACTTGATTGGCAATATAGGAGAAAAGAAAGTTATTCCTTTTGGATAGACTGATTAATCAGTTTTCCCACTTCCTTTGCAGGTGAAAAACAAGAGGACAGAAAACAGCCTAGATAAAACAAATGTCCTGGGAAAACAGCACAGGGGTAGAGTAAGTGAGCAGTACAGTGTGTAGCGGTAGCTTCAGCCAGACACCAACTTGACTTCAGTTTACCACCCCCTTCATTTTGTTGCTTATCCATTACTACAGAGGTCTACAGTTCGTCTTCCAGTGAGGGTAGTCTTTTCACTGTTACCATTTATATAGGAGTGTTGGGCTATCTCCTTGTAGTTTTCGCTTGCATTTCCCTGATGACACATTACAGAAAGCATCCTGTTGTGTCCCCTTTTTTATATCCATATATCTTGCTTGGGAAGTATCTGTTCAATCCTTGCCAGTTATTTAATTGAGTTATTCATTTTTTGATTAGCATGATTTCTGAATATAATGTATATATTGTATATATAATATATATACAGATATATAAATTGCAATTATTTGTCAAGTATCTTGAGTACCTTTCCATCCCTCAAGATAGCACACCAGTCTATTACACAGATGATATTATAATGTTTGATCTCAGTGAGCAAAAGGCACTTAGTATTCTTTACTTATTGGTAAAACATTTACATGACAGAGGGAGGGAAATAAGTCTGACAAAAGAGT